ATGGCAGTGAAGAAATAAAGATGGTTGGATTTGTCGATATCTATTCTAAAGGGTTGAAGGAGGAAGAGTGTGTCAATTGCCCAAAAGGTGCATCCAGACCTAGCTTAAATAGGCCAACCTTGAAGATGGAGAAACGGAAAGGAGCAGTTAAGATCCGTGATCTATGTATCATATCACGCGCGTATCCAACGCACCAGGGAAGATGAGGTACACCGGTTCTTGGCGAAAGTGGTGATGGGATGGTGTTGGAAGTTGGGAATTCAACACTCACGCTGAATTTACCACCGATAGACCGAAACGGTTGTATATGTCCGACGGCCATAACGCGTATCTATGTTGGCTCGGTGTCGTCGGTGTTCCATACGACGGAGGAATGCAACCCCACTAGCACCGCTGCAACTATCGTTCAACCGTCGGTGCTAAAAGTTCTATCTGTCGGTTCGATTCCTTTCCAGGCAACGCTATCGATCCACTGGCGGTGGATCTACATCACCGTTGCTTTTATAATATATGACGGTTATAATATCGACGGTGATCGCTCGATCTGTAGTAGTGCATCTACAAGTTTGGTTTGAGCTTGAACTCAATTCGTATAGTGAACTTCGTTTTATTCCGTGTTTGTGCGAAAGTTCCACACTCTGCTAATCAATTGCAAAGTTTTGTTTGTTGTTAAATTTTAGAAAGGCCTATTCATTTCCCTCTATGTGAGATCAAGCACTTAGCTCTAAGGAAAACACTACTACATAAAATATTTTTAGAGGCAGCTAAAATGGGTTTGTAAAAGCGGCTTCTTAGCCTGTCTCGTGTGTCTCTAGAAATCAATTTACAAATTTTACATAATTTGCAAATTGAGCCAAAAAAATAGCAAAGTCATAACTCATGGTTGCAGGGATTGAACTCATGACCTTAGGTTTCATGCATTACTTGCTTACAACTCCACTTCAAAGTCACAAGTGACTAAAAAGGTGATACAATCTTTTATATTTATTTTAACAAATATTGCAATGAACATTTGAAATCTTAAATAAATTCAAATGTAAGAAGTTCGAACTAATTTTTTTATGTAAGTATTGCAACTTTGGTTTAGATCTTTTCGACATCCATGATCATTGAAAAATGGAAAAAATAAATTTCAACATTTGAAAGCTTTAAATACAATTTTATGGGTCTAAAATTATTTCAAATGAAAATGCTATCTATATATATACCTAATATTACCTCCGTCAGCAAAAGAATGCAATTATGGGAATCGTGCGGGTCAAAATAGCTTACGTTTGACCAAGTATTTAATAAATAGTACTAGTATTTATGTCTCAAAAAAAACTTATTATGAAAATGTATTTTATAACTAATCTAACGATACTTATTTTGTCTCATGAGTGTTAGTACTCTTTTATATAATTTCAGTCCAAGTTTAGACTGTTTCACTCCTCGAAATATGAGAATTGCATTCTTCTGTGGATGGAGGGAGTATTGAAGAGATAAAATTTCAGCCACAAATTTTTTTTCGTCCCACGTAATCATGAATGACTCTGTTTTGTCCACCGTTTCTTTTTTTCCGTTCCGTCTCCTATAGTAACACGGCGTTGTTTCTTTCTTTCCGTGTCGTGCCCTGCCTGCTCTATTCCGCAGCCGTTTCCTTTCTATGTCCCACTCCTGTTTTTCATGAAGACTTTTTTCGTTTTAGTGTTTCCCTTTTTTCTTTTCTGGTCCCGCTTCCGCGGTTGAACGAATAGTATCTCTTGTTTTAAAAAACAAAATAAATAATAAACACAAAATTATTGGTTTTTGCACCTTTCATCTTCTCCTAATAAATAAATATTCTCACCACTAAATTATTAATGTAGTTTTAATTTTGAATCTATATAGCTAATATTAAATAACCAAAATTTCTGTGATGGTAATTTTGTTCTACCTATCGTATCTGACTTAGTCCGTGTCATCCGACTCCATCGTGTATTATCGATTTTTACAAACCGTCCAGAATTTCTTCCATTTTTCTCCGTTGTAGTTTTTTCCTGAGCCTATGTACCCCCGCGCATGGGTTCACGTGTTTCACTGGCAGCGCACCCCACCCACCATCGCACCGCACTCCTCAAATAAAGTCCGCTATGCCGGCCATGTGACCCCTCCACGCTCTAGACGATGCACCATGCTCGCACGGTCGCACCTTGTCGGCTCCGCGCAGGCTCTGGACCTCGCTAGCTATGCGTGCGCCAGGACTTTCTGGGCCACGCCAGCTGCACGTGCCACGCGAATCGCCGAACCCTGCGCTGCGCCTGCATGCCGCATTCGCTCTCGCGTCTCGCATTTGACATCTGAGGAAGATGGCAGGTTGGAGAGAGAGGAAGTGGAGGGTAGATGAGTAAAACAGAGTAAATTTCGTCCCTAAACTTGTCCTATGTGTTTTAAATGCAAAGCACAAGCAAAAAATCTTCCTAATTTTGGAGACCACATGCTATGTATTGTTTGTAGTAGCAAAGCAACTAATAAAAAATATATCTTGTAGCAACACTCTAGCACACTAGCTTTTGTGAATGAACGAGCTTAGTCACACTCAGCGCGACCGTGCATAAGGAGAGGCAGATTTATTGTATACGACTAAGAAAGACGACAGACATTAAGCCGCTAGCACGTGCAATGGAGAACCACCCGCGCACAACTATCCTGGTGAAGATGCATGGACCACTAACTAGTGTCAAGTGTGTCTGTAAGATGCTTTTCGAGGATGTCGATATATATTGTCATTGACAGATTCAAATATGACGGAACTGTGAGGGTGAGGAAGGTGTTAATAACAACTTAAGAGTAAAAATAACGACCCGTTGCAACGCACCGGCACTTTTGCTAGTCAACTATAAAATTGCAGATCTCTTGAAGTACTATAATTTTGGTTTATGTCATTTCTCCATCTAAGGTCATTTGAGAATTAAAAAATGAATTTCAAAATCTGAATACTTAAAACAGAATTTCTAGGTACTAAATGATTTCAAATGAAAAATATTCAACTACAAAGTTGCCGATTTCTTCAAGTTCTACAACTTTGGTTTATGTTTTTTCTCCATCTGTTGTAAAATTAAAAAAATGAATCTCAAATTATGATAACTTTAAACAAAATTTTTAGGCCTTAAATGAGTTCAAATGAAAAGTCATCAACTGCAAAGATGCAAATCTCTTCGAGTACACAACTTTGATATAAAATTTGTCTTTATCCAAGTTGATTTGGAAAAGTTATTAATTCTACTATGCCACACCTATTTTTTTAAGCAGGCTAAATTGTCAACCGTCCCAGCTGGAAAGCCTAGAAACCTCTAAAAATAGGTGGTTTGGCTTTCTAGCTACCTCTAAAAATAGAGGGTATTTCTAGGGGGTAGTTGGGCTTTCCAATCGCATCTAAAAATTAATTTCTAGAGACAGTCTGGCTTAGATCATTTTTAAAGACTATTCTTGATAAAGTAGTCTCTACGCCAAAAGAGGCCCCTCTAAAAATGTTTTCTGTAGCAGTGAAAAAAGTAAATTTGGTGCTTACCTCCATTTTGTTGTGAAGCTACTCAAGGAGTGCTCCAGTAACACATATTTCCAACCTCTTTTGAGATGAATGCTTGTTCTCGTTAGGAGAGATATTTTAATTAACAACAATATGAAGCTTAGAAACTGAAAAGTAGGAAAGCTCTAAAACTGAGAGCATCCCAAGAACCTCTAAAATGGCATGTTCAAATTGTTTATTTGCTACATATCACTTTGCAACAGTTATGGCATTTGTTTTCCCTTGGGCTGTTTCGTCTTCTTGTTGTCTGCCTGGTGCTCCGTTTGGATTAGGCAAATTAGCGAGCTATCATAACCCATTTATACAAGAATTTAGTTGCTCCAAATACCTGCCATGATTAGACGATTCTAGGTTTTAAAATTTACTAATAACCTGTATTTGTTGTGCTACTCTTGAGTGCCATCAGGAAGTACTTGAGTTGACATTGTGTAATTGATTTTACAAGGATCATGGAAGCTGGGAGGATATTACACAAATTTGATTAATATAGTGATCCTATTAGTCTGATTTAATAAAAATTGTGCGAAATCTGCACCATTGCTTGCTTCCTTTAGTACTTCTGAAATGTCAGTTTTCAAACCAGCAACAGGTCTGCTGGAGCAAGTTTCAGCGCTTCAGTTCAGAGATTCAGCAGGATCGGAGTTTATCTTTTCAGTTATCCCCAATGTGTTGATACATGAACTGAGGCAATGTGTATTTGGCTGAACTGTGGTACTACTTGTGAGTTGTGACTTGTGAGCTAGATGTGGAAAATTCGATGCATGATATAGAGCTTAAAATCATGCCAACACAAAATGAAGGAACCTCTACTGATTGTGCATGTCCAGAACAGTCATACTCTTCAAATAATGAAATAATTGAGTTGTCAAAATACTATATACTTAAACTAAATAATGAACTGTGAAGAAAGTACATAGAAATTGTTTTCAAATATGACAAAGATAGTTATGAAATGAATGAAGTAGCTGTTGGCCATGGCAGCAGATTTCCTATGCCATTTTTCTATGTGCACTAAACCTATGTACAAAATAGTACGTACGCAATATTTTTTTGAATTAAAAATAAATATAATGTTGTGTGAGAAAAAGGAAAACTAATGGACCATTTCAATTAGTAATATGTCAAAACTATAATATATCAATCCAAATTAGATCATTTCTAGGGAACCTCTTGTTCTTAAGCTGAAACGAGGCTACAAGTCAAACATGTTTACCTCCACCAAAGTAAATAAACAACTTGACGATGAATCAACTTCACAGTTGAGTTTTGTGGAACGGAGGAAACAGAGTTTTAATGAAACAGAGCAGTTCCAAACAGGGATGTATGTACGTAGGGGAAAAAGAGGCAAAGCGAAACAAAGACCACCAGATCGGCAGATCCCATCGATGGAACAACATAAACTCTGCATCTCAAATTTTCTCATATGCCCGCCTTCAGTCCACGCACAGTCACCATGGCAATGACACTGTCGGTATGCTGCCTCCTCCTCGTCCTCGCCGGTGACGGCAGGGGCGAGGTCGCCGCGTTTGAGCTGGAGGAGGCCACCATCGAATCGATCCATCGCGCCTTGGCGACCGGGGAGCTTACCTCCCGCCGTCTCGTCGAGCTCTACCTGCGCCGCATCGCGTCCGTCGATCCCACTCTCCACGCCATCATCGAGCTCGACCCGGACGGCGCGCTCGCCGCCGACGCCGCCGCCCGGTCTAGCTCCGGCGTGCTCCCGCCGCTGCACGGCGTCCCCGTGCTGCTCAAGGACAACATCGCCGCGGCTGGCGACGGTGGGGTGCTCAACGCTACGGCCGGGTCGCTCGCCATGGTCGGGTCACGCCCCGCGCGCGACGCCGGCGTGGTCGAGCGGCTCAGGCGCGCCGGCGCGGTGCTGCTCGGCACCGCGAGCCTCAGCGAGTGGTGCAACTTCCGCGGCCCCGGCATCCCCGCCGACTGGAGCCCCCGCGGCGGCCAGGGCAGGGTCCGTCGCTGTCCCCTCCTTTTCCTCGGTTTCTTGGATACTCACATAGCATAGCAAATTGGTTTCTTGCAGACCCAAGAGCCATTGCTGCAGTGCTACGTCGATTGATTTTGGATTGCTGATGCAGAACCCGTACGTGCCGTCGGCGACAACGTGCTCCTCCAGCAGCGGCTCAGCCATTGCAGCGGCCGCGAACATGGCGGCGGTGACGATAGGGACTGAAACGGATGGCTCCATCATGTGTCCTTCCAGCTACAACTCCGTCGTCGGGATCAAGCCCACCGTGGGTCTCACCAGCAGCGCCGGCGTCATCATCATTTCACAAAGGATGGACACAATTGGGTGAGTAACCTATAATCAACTGATTTTGATGCTTACCTTTTAAGCCAAGGATGTTGTTTCTCATACACTTGACAATGCTGCTGAATTTAATCTAAAGATGACCAGATCGAGGCATGTTTTTACCTACTTGTGTCAAGGTATTTTTGCTGTTTCTTTTCTTTCAGTTTTCCCCCCTGAATATATGTCTCACTATCTGGATTCACCACTGACCACACCAAGCTTTTTTCTTAAAATTTTGGTGATGCAGCCCCATCACTAGGACAGTTTCAGATGCTGTGCATGTGTTGGAAGCAATTGTTGGTTATGCAGCCTGTTCGTTTGGTCGTGTTTGACTTATAAGCCATGACTTATCAGCCAACGAACAGTATTTTTCTCTCACACAAAATCAGCCAACAGTACTTTCAGCCATGACTTATCAGCCAAATAAGCCCAAACGAACAGGGCAATGACCCTCGAGATGCAGAGGCAACTCGCATGGCTTCACAATATATACCAGAAGGTGGATACATGCAATTCTTGACCATAGACGGACTAAGAGGGAAGAGGTTGGGAATTCTTAGGAAGGATTTCTTCCGTTTTCCCTCTGGTTCTGTCCAAGAACAGGTCTTCAGTGATCATTTTAAAATTATGAGGTACTTTGCCGCAACATCTCGGTCAAGTAAATTATTATTTTCTGGAACAATGCTCTTGATCCAACCAGTAAAAAAATGATTTTTCTATATACCAGTGCTAGCAATGATGGTCTTCTTTAAACGTATATTAATGCACTTGAAATATCCATTGTGATCTAGTGAAAGAAATTCTAGATCACAAGGTTGCATCCAATTCAGGGTTCCAATTAGAAAAACTACTGCCCTAAGGTTAGGTCAACCATCCTTTGGTGACAATTTCTTCAGTATATTGAGTATAAATAATGTTTGAGTAAAGGTGAGTTAGCAATAGAAGAACAGATTACGGTGGGTTTGGTCTATTGTGTTATCTTATTTCAGCTTCTTATTGGATTAATGGATCCAGGGTGAAGACTATTATAAGGCTTTGTTTATCTGAAGATGATCAATTAATGAATTACTTGAAGGAGAAATTACTGTATAGATATATAGTATGTATTTATTGATATTAATGATCCTTTACTACTATATAGGAGCTTTTGCTTACCCTGAATGATGTGACAAAACTGACAGTAAAATGGGTGCCATCTTGGTAGACAACCTTGAGATACCAAGCATGAATGCCATTAATGATGCAATGCAAAGTGGCGAGCGTGCTCTTATGCTTGCTGAATTCAAGCTATCACTCAACTCCTACTTAGGGCCTGTTTAGTTCAAAAAAAAAATTTGCGTAGTACCCATCACATCGAATCTTACGGCACATGCATAGAGTACTAAATGTAGACGAAAAAAAAACTAATTGCACAGTTGGGTGAGAAATCGCGAGGCGAAACTTTCGAAACTAATTAGTCCATAATTAGACACTAATTGCCAAATACAAACGAAAATGCTACAGTAGCCAAAACCCGAAAATTTTTGCTTCTAAACGCGCCCTTATTTGAGCTGGCCACTTCACCTATTAGATCATTATATCAGACATAATTGAGTTCAACAAGAAGCACCCCGTTGAGGTAAATATTGGTCACAGGAAGGATTTCATTTTCATAAATAATTATCCTGCACATCTAATTTCCTAAGTATTTTCGTTGAACATAAACATACAATTATTGCATTATTGGTCACAGGAAGGGCTGGCTGAATTTGGACAAGATTACCTTCTACAATCTGAAGCAACCAATGGCATTGGTCCAACTGAGGAGCATGCCATTTTGAAACTGAACAAACTGTACAAAAGAGGCCTTGAGAAAATAATGCAAGATAAACCAATTGGATGCAATTGTAGCCCCAGGTGCATCTTCTCACAGCCTGCTTGCCATTGGCGGTTATCCGGCAATAACTGTTCCAGCTGGGTATGCTGCAAATGGCGTCCCTTTTGCCATCTGCTTCGGAGGGTTGAAAGGATCGGAGCCGAAGCTTATTGAGATATCATATTCATTTGAGCAGGCAACGAAAGTAAGGAAACCTCCGTCACTGCAGCATTCTGTCATTTGAATGTAACTACGGAGATGAATCATATGTAATTTTTGGCAGTACTTTTGTTTAACTTTGAGGAAACATTTATTTTTGTTTAACTTTGAATGTAACTACGGAGATGAATCATGTCATTTAGGGAAACACGCATGTATTGAATGCTAAAACACTTGTGATGCAAACCTTTAACCAAGCTCTTTGAACTCAAGCATTTTGTACCTTGATCGTTCGTGGCATGTACTTTTACGATTTATGAAATAGTCTTTTCGGTAAAGAAGTAGAGCAAAAGAAAGATGGATTCAAAGTGTCCTATATCCTGAAATCTGCATGAATAGCAGTCTGGGCGTCATGGATACCCAGGCTGAATGGGTTTTTCTTTATTAGGTATGCATCCGATGTTTCTGATAAAGGACAAGATGTATTACTGCAACGTGATTCTATATCAAGTGATCAAAATCATTAGTTTCACAGCCACTCTCATTAAGAAATTTATTAATTTACCTCGATCATTCTCTGGTTCCATGACAAGCAAGATTTACAGTCATTATTACATCTTATTCTTCTGCTTGTTTATTCACTCAACATGTTTTAGAGCCATTTGTGCTGTCCAGTCACTATTCAGTTTGAGAACTCAAACAGCATAGTGTGCTTATACTTCTCACCAGGCCGAACAACTACAGAGGGAAAATTAGGTTGGTTGATGGCATTAGGGAACCCCTGGGTTTCCAAGCATACTCCAGCATGCTTCTCATAGACAGCACCCACTTTGCCACTGATGCCATTCACATAGTTGGCGGTGTAGAACTGCATGCCAGGTGCATCAGTCCAGAGATCTAGGGTCCGCAAGCTTGATGGATCTCTCAGCTTGGCCGCATGCTTCAGGCCATTCTTCTCATCGCCACAGTCCAGCACATAGTTATGATCATACCCTCCAGGAACATCATTGATGCGCTCTCCAATCTTGTGCTCTGTTGTGAAATCAAAAGGAGTGCCGTTGATGGGCATTACCTCACCAGTGGGAATTGTGTTTTCATCAACTGGAGTGATGTGCTTCCCCCATATCTGTATTGAATGATTTAAGATGTCACCAGAGGCATGGCCTGCAAGGTTCCAATAAGTGTGCTGTGCCAGGCTTATAGGAGTTGCTTTATTTTCTGGTGTAGCTTCCATGTCCAGTCTTAGAGTAGTAGCTTCAGGAAGTGAGTATGTTGCCCGAATGGTTACATCCCCTGGATAGCCTGAGGGATGTTGAATTGGCCGAGTTATTTATGGTTAAGCATGAAACCTGCAATCAAAACAACAATGCTATACCTTCTTCACCATCCTTGCTGTGATACTGAAAAGTTATTGATGGGCATTCACCATCCTTGTGCTCTACGACATCCCACACAACCTTATCAAATCCCTTCAACCCACCTGGCATTCACAATTGAGCAACACGATGAAAAGTTATAAGTATATATCACATAAACACAAACCACAATGCAAACATTAATGTTGACTTGAAGTTGAAGGTGGTTTTGTTCTTTTTCTCCAGACACATCAATTGAGAATTGACCATAGAATTCGTTCATCTAGTCATTTACAAATTATGGGTGTTAAAATTTTCTACAAAGAGTGCTGATGATAAAGATATGCATGCAAACAATGAAATTGTTACATACAGACAATGGTGTTCCATTAAAATCAGTCACTGATATAATAAAGTCACACACACCCTGACTGAAACCATACCATGAAGGCTGTTAGGTCCATTGTTGACAGGCAATGAATACTCAACTTCGTTTAGTCTAAACTTCCCATCCTTGATCCTATTCGCAACTCGGCCAACTATGCAGCCAAAATAAGGTGACATGCCTTTCTAAAAAAAAAGAAAAAAATAAACTATCAACATTAGTCATTTGAGTACCATTCGAAGTTCAGAACAATATAAATGAAAATTAACATAACATATTATTCAGTAAATATCTCAATGATAACCATGATTTGACTTTGGGTTATGGAATGATACTGAGCTGTGGTTTACAGAGTACAGACACAGCTGTAGATCTGTTTTGAATCAATAGACATGAACTGAACAGGTTTTGTACAGACACCTTTGGATGGAGGTTGCTTTGGTAACAAAGACCAAAACTACCATTGAGGTTGTTAACAAACATCAAAACTAATAACAGATACATACAGATCTGCAACTTATTTATTTAAGGTATGATTCGTTGCTTCAATTAGAATTAGACCTTATGCATCATAGGAAAATATTCAGGGCAAACTACACTTTGGTGGAATCATGAAAACCCCTTAGAAAAACATACTTAAGAAAAAAAGGGCGTACCCAGTGCAGAGAACTCCCGCTCTATGCGGGGTCTGGGGAAGGGTGTCAGTGGCAAGCCTTACCCTCGCCTGTGCACTGCGAGGAGACCGCGACTCGAACCCGGGACCTTCCGGTCACAGGCGGTAAGACTCTACCGCTTGCACCAGGCCCGCCCTTCAAAAACATACTTAAGAGTTTCCAAAAATTTGAAATGTTGTACATCCATAGTTCATCTATAGATGTACATTTCTATAAAATTTGAGATTCAAGCTCTTGTTTAAAAATTCATACAAAAACAATAAGTTTCAGGTGCATATTCACTCGAAAGAGAAATTCCTAGGAATTTTATCTTAAACTACAAATGCATATGAAATTTGTTATTTTCGTTTGAATTTTTCTAGATTTAGTCTGAATCCCAATTTTTGTGACAATGTACATCTATAGATGCACTATGGATGTGCATCCTTTCAATATTTTTGAAAACTCCCAAATATGTTTTTCTAGGGGTTTTCACAATTCCACCAAAGATGAGGTTTGCACTGAATATTTTCCCATACAACACAAGCCAAGCCAACATAAACATATGCAATGTCTTGGTGTTTTGGTTGTTTAGATTGCTCATATTAAGCTGCATGTAGTCACCTCCATGTGCTAGTAGATAACTTATGTTCTAGAAGAGGTGGGGGAGGTGAGGAGATTCCATTTTTGTGCGCACCTTCAGCTTATCCAAATCTGCATGATCTAATATGATCAAACCTAACATACGTGGTAATGCAGCGTTAGACCTGCTTTGGGCATTGTGTAAGCAGTGGCGAAGCCAGAGCAAATTGGAGACTAGGAGAGGGGTGCGCTTGCCTTGTGGGTGCATAAAGGAGAGGGGTGCGCTTGCCTTGTGGGTGCATAAAAATATGTCATACATGGTGCATATATGGTGAATTTTAGTCCTAATCACTGTTTTTTAATTTTTTGTGGGGGTGACTAGGGAGCTCCGCTCATGTGTGTAAGCCAGCATAAGAAGGTCTGCAGGCAACCAAACATGTGTAAAGCTGCCCTGCATTAACCTGGATATAGGCTAATGCAGCCAACCAAACAGGCCCGAACAAACTAAAACATGGTCACTCATCTTTTTCTGGAGGAAATTCCCTCAGTTCAAAGGCGAACTTGGTTAATTTCCCATCTTTGAGGACTCTAACGATGTGGAATTCATAGTCTGGATAGTCACCTAAGGCCTTGTTTGGATGTAATCAGATTCGCATCAATCCACATGTGTTGGGGTGGATCGGAGTGAAACTTGAACTAAATTCCACCCTAATCCACCCCAACACATGTGGATTGAAGTGAATTCAACAACATCCAAACAAGGCCTGGCGTCGCAGGAAGCTACCAATTTTCCATTGGAAGAGTTCTCCCCTTGTCATTGTATCTAAAGCTGTACTGAAAAATATTTTTGGGACCAATTTGGCGCAGTATCAGAGAAGCTGATAAAGTTCCAGTTGTCATTACTAGGCTTCTAAATACAAATCACAAATTGCTTCAATTTAGTCAGGGAACATCGGCGCAACTCACTCAGGAGTCAAAAGTCAAAGGACACAACACGTGACGAGCAAACCAAGATTAGAGTAGAGAATGGAGAGGATTATTCGAGGGGGTCTCTCACCACGTACGGGTCCAGGTCATCGAATCCGAGGACCACATCCGCGATACTCCCTGCACCGATTTTAGTCAACAGGATGGGTTACCGGGGAATCGAAGAACCCAGAGGATGCGAAACAAAGAGAAAAGCGAGCGATGCGGACCTTGGGCGTCGGGGACGAGGAGGGAGGTGATGGTGGCTCCCCAGTTCGAGAGCCTCGCGGTGATCCTGCCGTTGGAGAGCTCTAAGATCTTGGGCTCGGCCGCCATTGACGCCCGTTAGGGAAAGATTCGGCTCTGAGCTCGATTCGCTTGCTTGCGGGATTACAGTGTACAGTAGTTTCCGGGTTATTTGCATCACGCCGTTGTAATTAGATCTGCCGTTACAATTCACCTATTCTAAAAACTTGCAATTACAATTTTTCTTCTATCTGATACTTGCCATTTTCTATGTCTTCTGGGTGTTCGGGCCCACTGTCAGGCTGTATACATGTACACATCTTCCATATGGACCAAAACACCCCCGACTCCTTCTTTCCCTCCACTCACTGACATGTGGGCCCCACATGTCATATTCTCCTTCAACCTCCGGCCATCCTGGAAGGACGGTGTCCCGGCGAGATGGGAGGGGCGGGCGGACACTTCGAGCCCGACCTCCCGCGTGGGAGCTCCGTCCAGGTCATGGCCACACGCGAGCTCCGGGCAGGCCTCTCCCCGACGGCGGCGCATATGGCTGCGCGGCTCGCTTTCGCTAACTCCACCACCCGTATGTAGCCGCTCACTGCTTGTTGTGCTTGCACGAGCGTGCCCTACTAACGGCGAAGGCAGGCCGCCATTGCCGCCACCATGCTCCCACAGTAGCTGTGTACATGAAAGCAAAGAAGCACCCGCCCATCATCGCCACAGCAGATCCGGCCCATCCTCGCGCCCTCATGCATTGCCCATCCCTCGCGCCCTCCACTCATGCGTCCAGGTGCGGCAGCCCCACTCGGCGGCCCCGAAACGACGGCGTGATTTGCCGGACCACCACAGAAGGCCCCAAAGACGGCGCCCCCTCGGTCTTAGGCTCCCGGTATGGGGGGTCCCATGCGTGAGAGCCTCTCGTGTGTGCCGCCTGCGCCCCGGCTCACCGACGGTGCCGTGCAGGTGGGCTCGTCGATCTTATGCTTAACGGCCCAAAGTAGGGCACCCTCGGCGTGGCAGATCTGACCATGGTGGCGCAGAGGCGTGGGTGGCCCTGGCTGCATGGCGACTTCTCATGACGACGACAACCTGCCGTGAAGGCGGGGCCGGCAGCCTTGCGTCTTGCTTGAGTGGCCCGTGAGCGTCCCCATGTGGGCGGGCCCATTGTAGCCATGGGCGGGCGGTAGGGCGGGGTGGCCTGGCGCCGCAAGACCAATGGCTGCTGGCTACTGCAACGCGGATCGCAAGCGGCGGGATGCGGTGAGTGGAGGGAGAGAAGCAACCTGGGGTGTTTTGGTCCATACGGAAGATATGTACACGTATACGGTCTGACAGTGGGCCTAGACACCCGGAAGACGTGGAAAATGGCAAGTATCAGGTAGAAGAAGAATTATAATGGTAATTTTCAGAATAGGTGAATTGTAATAACAGATGTTCAAAGTTGAAGAATTATAATGGCGTGGATCAAATAACCCGTAGTTAAATGGCTTTGTGTTGTGCTGCCGCTTTAATCCAAACGCACACACTTCCAGGTTATATGAATTTATGAGTCCACCGTGATGTGGGACCTGGACGGTGAATCAATATTTATATTGTTATAGTATGGTGCATTTTTGCTACTCCCACATGTATGTACTGCGAGTGAGAAGAGCTGCAGCAGTTAATGGGTTTTCAAAGATCCATTAAGAAGCTAACTAATCTGGGTGATTTAGTTAATTGGTTAGTAATAAATAATTTTCCGTGTGCGCGTTACCCATGATTTTCTTGTGGCTTACTCCACTTCTCAAACTTGTGCTAGTATTTGAAATTTTCGCATGCAAGGTCTATATTTTACCGTATATTTGAGTGTCAGTCTGTCAGATCAGGTGTGCTTTGGTGTACTGATATGCTACCTTCGTCCAAAAAGAACATAATTATGAGATTCATGTCGATTAACTTGTCTAAAGTTTGACAAGTTTATAATGATTAATATTAATATTTATATTTATATCTGAAACAAGTTTTATTATAAAAATACATTCCGTCAACTAATTTATTGATACTTATTTTGCACTGAGAGGCTTCGTTTCATCCATCCAGATCCCATGCGCAAGTTCTTCTTCCTCGCCATTCTTCCCCGCTTGGATCCTAAAATTTCCCCTCCTTCCTGCCTGCTCCACTTACCTCCCGCCATCTTCCCTTCCTTCCCACCTGGTCTCCTCCCTTCCGGTCATCTCCGCATCTCCTCGATCCCAGATGGATGCACATCCATGGCGGCAGAAAGCACAGGCCGACGCGGCTCTGGTAGAGGAGGAAAAGGGCGTGGCGGTACCGCAAGGCGGCGTCCTCGGCTGCGCCACGGCCACAAGCTTGGTCGCATGTGTCGCCGCCGCCGCTGTCTTCCTCGTCCGCGCAGCCACCGCCGTCTTCTTCGTCCGCATAGCCGCCGCCGTCTTCCTCTTCTGCGCCGCTGCCGCCAACTTCGTCGTTGCGCCTCCGTCGGTTGCTTCGTCGTCTCCTATCCCTCAACAGCAAGTCGTGCCTCCCCAGCGCTTGCGCCTCCGTCGGCTGCTTCGCCGCCTCCTGCACCTCAACAGCAAGGTGTGCCTCCCCAGCCACTGCAGAGATGGATTGCAATTTGCAAGTGTAAATTTCTAGTACTGGTGTGCACAGATGGATTGCAAGTTGCAAGTGTAAATTTCTAGTACTGGTGTGCACAGATGGATTGCAAGTGTAAATTTCTAGTACTGGTGTGCTTCAAACTACCGAATGTGTAGATCTTGTCATTCAGATCCTCAGATTATTTTTTTCAGATAATTTGGCTAGCAATTTCCTGGCCATTTTGGCTTGTTGTGGTAGTGCTGAAAGTTGCTGGATTCTGCCTATGCAGTTCTGCGCTACAATTTTGAGAACCTCAGCTAGTCAGTTTTGACGATAGAAAATAGATACTTTCAGTCATCTTTTCTCTTTTGTTCATTTCAGTTTAGTCTGTATCCTATTTTACTTGAAATTACATGTGAGTATGATAAACCATGTTTATTTACTGATTTATCATATCCCAATATATTAAACAATATCGAATGGCTAATAGTTTATATGGCACATTTGATCAAAACATAATGCAAGAATTAAATGCTAATGCTAGCTTATGAAACGGTGAAATAAAACTAGGCATTGAGAGAGCATGTTTCATACATAATTTCATGTCTTGGAAACAGGGACATGAAACCTTACATTAAAACTGGCCTTAGATACCTACAGCCTGCACGATGACGGATTATTAGATATATATATTATTGTCATGTCTATTTGATTTAATTAAATATTTATACCAATATGTTTTTACATTTCAAGATGAAAAACTCATGGATGTGCAATTTATCAAGACTTTGATCCATCGTTCTGGTTGGAGGTTCATAGGTTTATTGATGCCGCGAAGTGGCATGCGTGCAGAAGACAAAGCGCATGTATTGTCCGTGCATTGACCACAAAATATTGTTGTATTTGCCAACACTGACATGGAACATATTATTTCTCATTTGGCTGCTGAGGTTTCATGAAGGGTTACATGATTTGGACCAAACATGGAGATGGTCATAGTTCCACGTCTTATGAAATTGGCGAACTAGCCAACACCGATGTCGAGGGATCTAATATGCATGCCGAGGAACCCAATATGGCTATTCAGGCATGGTTGTCGAGAAACAACACCACTACCCAAACAAATCCTGTTATGATAGACGTTGCTGATGATTTCTTTGGTGGCAAAGGTGAAGGTGATTACCATGTCGATGAAAATGAACAAGCAAAATTCTTAACTATTGCAATGTTATTCGAAGGCATCAATGTTCTTTGCGAAAGGTATGGAGCTCTTGAAGATGGCAGCGAAGGAGTCTAAGGGATGTACCAAAGAGGGGATGATATGTCCTTTAGTTGTTGATGCTAAAAGCTCGTTTTGGTTGGTCTGGCTTCAACGAGTTGTAGCGTCTTGTGGCAAACCTCCTTCTGAAGGAGAACAAAGTGCATGCTAATACCTACCATGAAAAGAAGTTTATTACTCTGCTGACTATAGGTATCCTAAAGATCTACGTGCATTATTGTATCCTATAACAAGGCAAGGATTATGAAGGCCTATAAAGCTGCCCAAATTATGGCACAAGTAGGTACAAGACAAATAAAGATTACAGAGTTGTCCTATGTGAATAAATACATTTACACAAGCAGTTGACTTAAATATACTTCCTGTGTAAATCCATTTACATAGGCGGTTGACCTAAGGCTACCGCTAGTGTAAATGATTTACATGGGTGGTTCTTAGGCTTACGCCAATAGGATGACACCATTTTTTACTAGCCTTTCACACTGGTGTTTCGTGAAACAGTCCGTAAAAATGCAAAAACTATCACCGGTAAAAATCATTTTTGTACTAGTGGATTAATATTGTATTTAACATAATCATATTTAAGGCACATAGTAGCTTCGTTTCTAGATATGTTGTTGCCTCGTAGTGAGGACCAAAAAAGAAATTGATTCAAGGTTGCAGTGTGGTTGAGATGATGGCATTGCAACTCTTTTGTATCATATGGATGACATTTTTCAATTAGGATTAATAATTGTTTAAAAATGGTAAGCTCAGAGTCTTTTGTTTCTTTGTTGCGCTGGAGTAGGATTTTTCTTTGAAGTGGAGAAACCGAAGACATAAAAAGTCAATTTTATGTAAAAAGTTTTAGAGTAGGAGTATGTTGTTATAACTGTTCATATCTTCTTGCAATTTATTACATTGAATACCTAGCTTTCCTTTCCTTCCTTGGACCACTTCAGTTTTTTGCTTAAGTTTTTGTAAAAACCTTTTCATTTCCATCCTTGAATCCTTTCTGACTCAGTTTCAGTCCATGCCAGAACGAAATACAATGCTTTTATTACCGGATTTGGATCCGGAATTATTTGGATTAAGTTCATAAAAAGCATAAAGCTGAAGTTTTCTAAAGCCAACTCATACCCTCATCCGCCAAGGACCAGTAAATTGTCAACTACCTTTACGTAAGATGGTGGCCATTGCTTTACTGAAATAAAAAAAAATCGCCACATGGAATTATTGCAAGTGCTCTACTGAAGGCATAGCCGCACAGGTAACCATCCTGAACAGATAATTATTGAAGCTGCTTCACCACATGCAACGATTAAACGGTATTAGATATCTTCTTTGTGGACAAAATAAACTATGGAGAATCTTACACGTTTCATTTGTGTCTATACGAAAAGGTGAAAAATACAAATGATGGCCATCTAAGGCGATTCTTTGAGAACTTTCAAAAGTTTCTATTGTGCTCCACTAAAAGATTATCTTGTAATTTGAAATGCCTTGGCCGTGCATGTTTGTATTTTGACCTACTTAACTAGGCCTACATTAATTTAAGAACTCTGCTTTATTACATAGCCCTAGAGTCACCTGTGGGTTAGTTGAAATAAAGCATATCCTTTTACTCTACCTAATACGGAGTATTAAAAAGCAAAAAAAAAAAAAATCTTCTTCCACATTTTTGTTACTTTCCTAAGTGCCCTCACGTCTTGAGTGTTCAATATGTGACCCACCTGTACTTCAAAGAATTAGAACAACACACGTCCAACAATGATCCAGAGTCCGATTCTAAGATATATTAGATTCTACTGCAATAAATGGACACGTTTGCTAGTGTATAAGATACAAACAAAGTTTTTTTTGGTAGTTTAATGTAGTATTGGATAACATAATAACCCCAAAAGCTGGCCCTGAATCTTCAAAACGTTATTGAAACTCCGATCTAAGATAGCTTTTGTTTGGCACCTGTGTCTGAAGGACAAGAAAATTTATTCTTTCGAGGAATCAGATGACTGTTTTTTTCCCAAGCTTTTTTGTGGTCTCTGAGCAGATCTTCATCCCGTAGATGGTTTCTTATCCGTCATAGAAAATATATCGTTACACCCTGCACGCACTATCTCCACGCGGTCACACCACCCTTGGCCAGTCTACTTGCCTCAATCTTCGGTAGCGTCAAAAGTCCATGGGATTCACTCTTGTCCTGTGCTCCAACAGCATGTTAAATACTCTGTTGAAACTTTCTGTGTTTAATAAGCTAGATGCTTCCACACACACACAACACACTTCTTCCTGGCTATCTCTTTAGATGCTGTTGAAATCCTCCCACCCCTGACAAAATCACCGTGAAAGGTAGCTGAGGATTGTCCAAGGAAATAGGAGTTTGATGGAAAAACATAAAGGAGTGAGCTTATATTGAAAAAAGACCATTTTTTAGTTCATGAAAAATTTATCTAAAAATGATCATTGTTTGATAACGAGGACTAATTAATAACGGCTAAAATAGTCCTAACTGATCCAAAGAGGAGGGCTAATATGTAAAATAGTCCTAAATGATCCAAATAGAAGGGTTGGTACGTAGACTAAAATTAGCCAAGCTCTTAGCTTGTTGTTAGCCTATTAGCCAAGCATAACTAGCTAACAAAGAGCAGAGGGCCGGTTTGGATCATTGGAATTGAATTCATTCTAATAATTATAATTTAGACATAGATTAATTAAGCTAATATAGTTATATATGGAATATATTTGTATATTTATTGTATATAAGGGACATACTTATATGTTGCATTTCTATTGTAGGAAAGTGAGTTGAAGAGTGTGCTATAAGTTGAAGAGTAGAATTATAGCATAGTGATCTATAGAATCCATTTCCATCTCCTACCCTATAAATTTGAGATAGGCTTATTTGTGAACTTGAGAAAGTTATGGAATGTCAAATTCCAAGCCAAATAGCCAAATCCATTAAGTAGATTTCAATTCCTCCAAGATGAAGGGATGCAAACGGGCTCTAATAATTTATTGCTGGATGTATGCACCTATTAGCTGTGATCTAAACATACAATTGCTAATAATTAGCTGACTACTTAGCTAACTAATCTTTAGCTCTTGCTTCTTGAAAATAGTTAAAGATAGACTCTCTCAGCCCTGAAAAGAGTGTACATCTCACTTTTCAATGAGTCAACCAATCTCAAGTTCGATTAAATCTATACCTAATATTGAAGAGGTAAAATTTCTCTCCATACATTTTTTTCATCTACCTCTCCCCAACTACCCGAAAAGTGGAGAGTTTCTTCTGTCTAGCTTTTTTTACTTCCCAAACTCCACTCTCTCCCTCCATCTTGTATGTGACCTAGACATATGACTCACGCACATACGAGTTAGAACAACTCAATCTAGCGATGATACAGAGTCTATTCCTATACGTATTGGGTTCCGTTACAACGCATATAGGCACATTTGATATATAGTATATAAAAAAGTAATAATGCTTATGATACCAAATAAGTACCGTTAGGTTAGTTATGCAACATATTTATAAATGTCTATAATATTTTCTATAAATATAGACAAATTTAAAATTTGTTGGATCCTTAAGATACAAGATGTGCACTTTTCGTAGGATGGAGGGATTACTAGGACTCATGCTAGACCTAATTGAGTTCCCTTAGGTCTTCTCACATGCGAATGGCTTTTGTCAGTGTTGTCCTTTGAAAACTGATTGGGCTCTTTCAGTATTTGCTCATCTGATTAACCATCGCCATGTGTACTTTTCATTATATTCCAACATGAATTGAACTTTGCACCCCAGGGTGCATACTTATTCCAATGGCATAGCGTCACTTACCTTCACAATCCTTAGGAGATGTTGTGTGGTGACTCAAATCCTACTTGTAATTAGACTCAATAGAGGTTTGCTATTATGACTTCTAGTTCTATTAGGACTTGAGTGTAGAATCCTACTAGGAGTCGGACTCGTATTTGCATGTATGGGGCCCTTGGAGGGGACTATATAAACAAGGGGTAGAGACCATAGGCATCAACCAAACCAACACAAGGGTCTCATCTAAGGCTTATAAGAAGCAATTTTGGAGCACTCAATCAAGAGGATTGGTCTAGATAGTTCTATTACACTAGATTCTTGTATAGGGCAAGAATCAGTGGGTCCTAGAGGGTCGACTAGGGTTGTGAGAGAGCGTCAATCACTTGTACTCTTTTTGGAGTTGTGCTTATAGAATTTGCGGTCGGCTTCGCCAAAATCCTAATCTCTTGTCATGGTTGCTTCAATATTGTTGTCTAGGGTTTTCTACATGATTCAACTACATCATTCTTGATAGGGTGCAAGCTTGTGTCATACTTGCAACATCCTTTCAAAGATCCGAGGGCTGCTGTGCATAACTAGGGTATCAGATTTTAACAAGTGGTATCAAAGCCAAGGTCAGATTAAATTGATTTTTTGAGAAGGTTGATAGAGCTAGGAAGCACGAAATTAAGATGATGTCAGGGATGTAAATACAAGTAGAGAAATTTTATGGCAAAGGGAATTTTAGTGTGTGTCAATGCATGGTACAAGATGTGCTTGTCCAACAAGGATTGATTGATGCTCTTGAGGGCACCAAACTGGACAAGACAACTGATGAAGAATGGAGGGTGATACAGTGAAAGGATGTCAGTATAATTCAACTATGTCTCTCCGATGAGGTAAAGTACTTGGTAAGCAAGTAAAATTCACTAAAGAAATTATAGAAGAGACTAGAAGAGTTGTATATGGCAAAGTCGCTAACAAATCGGTGGGTAGGGAAGCGTCAACTATTCAGGTTACGCATGGAGCAAGGTACATGATTTGTAGACCATCTCAATATCTTCAACAAGCTTGTCACACAGCTGGTTAGTGTGGATGAGAAATTGAGGAGAATGATATATAAGGTCATCATACTGGCTTCTTCCTTACCACAATCGTGGGAGCAGTTGGTGATGAATATTCTCATCGAAAAGCCAGTCTCAACTTCAACGAGATAGTCACATAACTATTGGAGGCGGAGTCC